CAACAAGCAGCCTGAGCAAAGGGTGAGTGTTCACCTGGTCCGACCTGATGGTGAAGTGCTCGTAGCTGAACTGCCTGACATCATGATCACTGCGCCTGTTAATTGTTACGTTTCTTGGCACATCGTGCATTCATATTATGAGTTCACCACATCAAATTGCAGGAGAGGCGCCGGTTGTGGATCTCGTCCACCCCTGGAAAGTCCGACGATAAGCGCTCCAAAAGGCGCAAGCACCTGTGTGGAAGCGGAAAACTTACTTAACTAACTGGAAGATCTGGTTCAATGCTGTCAGCCAACTAAGATATTTCAAAACTAAAACGTCTGCATCAGTAAACCAATCCAAATTACAGGTCCGGCTGGGACAGCAAATGATTGCACTGCCCCTCACTCAAGTCCAGCCGGCATCTGATGAAGTACGCCCTTAAGACCTCCGAGGTCAACTCCAGTAATGGCGGCCCACTCTGAATGTCCGGCAAGGGCGCGACACCACAATGAACGACCGGCGCAGCAATGGGAGACCGACTGACACTCATGGCTACAGCAAGTTCCCGACCGAGAGATTAGTCCGACCAGTGTAGTAGTTAAACAGTGACGGTTAGCCGCTACTACAATTCTTAGCACCAAATTTGTGTTTTTGAATTTGCGCTTAAATTGATTCATGGAGAACTGTGGACTCCCATTGCTTTGTAAAAATTTGTGTGACCGACCGAACCTGCAAAGTAATTCTTTTGAAAGACCGACCGAACCTGCAAAGTCGTTGATTTTAGGTAGCAAGTTGAGTATTATTCCACAAACTGTCGACTGTTGAGTCTACGTCACGTGCACAAAATGATTGATTCACATCCAACTTGATTCTTGATGCTGAAATCTATCCACATGAATGTGACATGTGCGTTCCATGTCATACACAGCATGAAACAAGCGTCACTGCTTGACAATACAGTTGGCAAGGCCCTATGAAAAAGTGTTGAAGACTTGTTACTACAAGGAATGAACTTTCATTTCAGCCTTCGCTAAATCAGTCAATTACAAATCTGAACTAGTACTACAGTACTATGAGTGTTGCAGTGGGCTCTGAATTGTTGATCCCTGCAAGCCAAACAACAACCTCTAGTATTACCTTATGTAATGCTATCAGCGTTCAAATATACTGTTTTTCCAATTCACTACTGAAAAAGACCTTGGCAAAGCTCTGAGTCGTTCGGGCTGAGTCCCGGGCATATTGTTCGGAAGCTGGTTCGCAGGCAATGAGCCAAATCAAGCAATTCCCTCTCAAGCATTGGTTAAAATAATGAATTGTCCGGCCGAGGTGGTAAGTTATAATAAACGTGTCCGGCGCCAACAGCTATACAAACAAACAAATGTAGGTATCTTGGGTTAAACTTGGGCAATCCCAGGTGTCAAAGGTTAGTGGAAACACTTTTGCACCTTTGAAACATTTTTAAGATTAACCACTGCCTGCAGCAGAATACAGTGTCCCCTTTTGACTGACAGTTCTTTCTCTTAGATGGCAAAAAGCTACATAGATACAGTAGTAGAGATAAAGTGGCAAGCCACGGCATGTCATTGTTACAATTGTATGATTAATTAGGTGGGCTAATTAAATTCAGCGCTTCTGTGATTTGGAGGAGTTATAGCCCTACTTAAAGCATCTCAGCAGTTTGCTTAAAATCACCAGAGTGTAGCTTCCCCACGCTGCACTGCACCAGGAATGCGGTGCAGTGCATCGCCACAGTTTAACTGTGCCTGTGTGTTTCACACATTAGATGAGGGAAGCCAAGCTCATGTCAATGTAGGGGACGAAGGGTCGGATACACGGCGCTATTATGGAAACATCCAGCTGCCGCCCCCCAGTGTCCCCCTTATTAAAAAAATATGCAGGTGAACGGACTCAACATGCCAAAGGAATCACCTTCCATGCTCACTTTAGTCAGCCCAATGCTCCCATACTGGTCCTATTGGCATTTGTTGGAAAACAGTTTTGATTGCAACTTACATGCACTTACACACTCACTTGTGTTTGGCTAACTTTTGACTATGCATACTTCTTGATGAAAATCCTACCCCTTCCCTCATCCTACCTCTTCCCTGCTAATCGTGCCCTCTGACAAATGGAGCTCGCAAGACATTTACACATCTCGGCGAGCGTGCCACCTTGGTCGTCTTTGCATCCTTCTTGAACTGTTCAGTGCTGGATGGACAAGTTCAGCGCAATTGAAGGCTTTTGGCGTTTAGAATGTACTTTAATGTACTTTGCAACAAGGACCTGCGCCACGTCGAAGGACCTGCGGCAATTCTTTGGAGGCACCCAGCGGCCCAGCTTTGCTGTCTGGGTCAGAGTGGGAGAGGTTTAAAGGCCCAGCTCTGTAGGCCTGAGATGCTCATCTCTTAGTACGGCTTGGGTTTGGTTTTGACATCATCTACTGTATATGCCCATGCCAAGCTTGGACTTGATAGGACCTAGAGTGTGTCCTTGTCACGATCAGTTCAGAGCGGCACACGATGCTCCGAAAGAGAGAGAAGACACAAACTTGAACTCAGAAACCACATGATCCTTCCACAAACAAGTGCTTTTTGTTTGCAAGATAGTGTGTTTGCCTACGTCCAAAAGAATGTTTGTTATTTAGCTTTAGGATGCTTTAGGATGGTTTAGGACACTCCTGCATCCGAATAAGCTTGGAAACTCCGCCCTCAACTCCCCTCAACTCGTCCATCCCAAGAAGTCAGCTCCCGTCCTCAGCATCCGAGTCACCTGAAGAAATGCCAATCTTGTGTGGCAAGCATAGTAAGGCACCTTGTTACTAGTAGCGATGCACCTTCTTAATAGTAGCTTCTTGTTACTACTAGTAATGCCCTTGTTACTATGGGACTTCGGCATGGGGGCAGGCGAACCGGAGCAGGGCGATGTTGGGTCGAGTAGCAGACCCTTCTACACTGTGAATCGACCGGAAGCGACTGGCCTGATTAAGGAAGTCCAGCGCTGGTCTGCAAGTCCAGAATCAGAAGACATATGTTCTGGAGATCAAGCCGAAGCTGTTTCCTGAATCTCGAAACCAACACTCTTTTTTCTTCTGAATCGCTGTCTTCAGACACCGATTCACCCCACGGGAACCCCACGGATGGTGATCCGGTGACCCCAACAAATGAGCAAGTGGGCCACAAATGGCCACAGCAAAGGCCCCAGGCAAATCTTGTAAAGCTGAAAAATCCAAAGACTCAGGCTGGGGTAGAGGCCTTGTTGTAGGGCCAAGCGGTTGGCTTTAATTCAAAGGATCACACACTTTTGGCTATGAAGCTTCAGGTACCTTGGAGGTGCTTTTGGCCTGAGCCATGCGATGGCTTTATTCTGCACTGTGATGCAAGACTGTTTCGCTACAGATTCTTTACACCACAAGTACATAAGCATAAACTTCTGAAACCTTTTGGTGATGGTTGGATTGGATATGTTTCAGCCAGAAGGGTTGGCAAAGCTGGATTCCACCTTTCCCTTCAGCTTGCCTCGATGCTTGTCCTTCTTGTCCTGGCTAGTCTGGCCCTCCCAATGAACATGGAAGCCCGAAACCACTTCTTCGTGGCGTCGTCCTTCTGGCAAAAAAATACTTGTGTTCGATTAAATCCTCAAACAAGCAGAATGTCCAAAGCCACATCACCTGCCAGCACGCTTTCGTAAACCCTCCATGCTGGACATGAGGTCTGGCATCAAGAAAAGACATGAGGTCTGACCACCCGAGTCTCAGCACCGAAACATCCGAGACTCAGATCTGTGGCAAAGGTTCTTCTTCTGGCTGGTAACAAGAAACTGGTCACTTCTCCAGTTCTTCATAAGACACTTCAATCTCAAGTGATCTTCGAGGTTTCAAGAGACCTCATCCCCCCAAAACCAAGAGATGAAGCAGAATGAAACTGGTGTTTGTTTTTTCAAACTTTTTCCTTCATCCTCCTCTCCTGGTTCTGTCGCTGCGAATGAATCCCAGGAGACGTGGGAACATCTCATCTGAACTCGAGGCGAAGGACTCCGTTGCTGGGAGCAAGGTGGTCCGGGTTTTGTGTCTCGTGGAACTCTGGAGTTCCAAAACAATCTATTGCTGTATAACTCCAGTATAGATCTGTGGGGATGGCCCAAACTCTGTGGTTGATGGAGGTCTGTAATCCTGGAGCTCTGTATTTATTTTTAAAATAAACATATCTTTTAAATAAAAAACACAAAACTATGGTTGATGGCCCCAAACTCTGGTCCAGTCGAGAATCCCTTTGGTGTCACCAACATCCAAATGTGGACCACCCCTCGTAGCGGTCTCCAGACGGTTGCCAAACATTCTCTTTCCAGATTCCAGAAGTCAGAGTCATTGGAGCTCAAATCGACCAACAGTCGCACAAGACACTTGCTCCAAGCAGGGCCCGCGCCTTTTTCTTTTTGTCTTTCTTTTTCTTTTCCTGCGCCAAGCTCGACCCCTGAACCCACAGAGACACACTCCGTTTAACGCAGAGGGGACATACACACACACAGATAGATAGGGACCCAATTCGGGCGACCAGATTCCGCCACGCCAGGCGCCAGCCATGCGTGTTCAGCTGCGCGCTTCGGCTCAGCTCCCGCCTCTTTGGGATCTTTCCTGGGCCGCAAACAGTTTTTTTCAGGACGTTTTTCCATGAATGGACCGCATGCAGACATCCAATGGATGCGTCTTCAGATTCATGTACCTGGCCGTTCCAAAACGATCCAAAAACCGCGTTCCGAAACGAGCTGAATTCGCGTTCCAAAACGAGACGGCGGCCCCCTAAGATTCCAACAGCCCTTGATTTAATGGTCTTGACCGAACAACCTTGCACTGAGGATTTTAGACTACAAAGTCAGGCCAACCTTTCTTTGAATGGGCTTTGAAGGCTAGGGCTATGGCTGGGATATATCCCTCACCTTCACCACCACATATGCCGAGCCATAAGAGAGACCTAGAGGCCTATGCTTCGGATTCCCGTTTTCCGCTCCGCTTCCATTTGCATCACAGGCACGTCCGTTGGGTCTTGTCCAACTTGGAGGTATCGATGGCATCACTGATCTCGGTACCACCCGTGCGGGTGGGTGACGGTGAAGCTCTTCGCTCCTGGAAGCGCGTGCACGTGCCGATGACACAGCTGGAAGCTTTCTCCCTTCCTCTGCTCTTTCCTCGTCTTTTATGCCACGTTGGACCTGTTTTTTTGGGGGGGTTGTTTGGGACCTGGAACATGGGGAGAGCAAATGGACCCCGGACCACCAAACTGGTGGACCAGTCATGAAAACAGCCGGATCACTCCCTGGGTGGGCACACAAGGATTTCATAAATGAAAGCCCAGTAATTCAGATTGGTTCGTGGTCTTTGCCATTTGCAGCACGTCCACGCAAAAGCTTTTAGGGCCAAAACTAGAAGGCTTTGAACTGGAGGCTACCCATCATGTCCCATCAGATCCCATCGAGTCTACTTCCGCAATGACAAGGATGTTGTCCAAGGAAATGACCCCGAAAACCTCCAAAAACAAACCACACAAGGAAAGTCAAGGAAAGCCACAAGAAACCGTCAGTCTTGTCAGTTGACGTGGATCTTACAGCAGTCACATCCATTTTCTGGACTCGTCCAACTGAATTCACCGGAATACATCACCCTAGCCTAGCTACAAGTAGTAATGCCCTTGTTACTAGTAGCGATGCACTTGTTAAAAAGAACCAGAGGGGGTCCTTCTTGATCTTGTCAGCGCTGTGTGGCCGCAGTACTGGGCGTGGCTTTGGCCGCAGCGTCGCGTCCCCATCGCCGGCGAGCTTCGGCAAGGAGACAGCGGTGCGGCACATCTCGCGGATGCCCTGCGCGGGGCCCAGCTGGCGACGGTGCTCCTGGAGGGTGACGGTGAAAGACCACTCCAAAATCGGCGGGAAGGAAGAGTGATTCATCGACGACTGGACCATAGACATGTACGGTTAATCAATACGACGGTAGCCTGGTCCTAGCTGGATCCACCATGGGCTATAAATTATAGAAATCGTATACGTCACGTGTCATACATACGTGGAGACGAGGCTGCGCGGCGGTCGAAACCAATCTCGACTCTAAGCGCTTCTCCTGTTGTGAAGAAATCATGAGGTCCCCCCACCTCCCCCCCACGTCTTTTCCCCGAGCAATTTGATGATCCACACATGATTCATGATGGACATTTCTGAGTGGGTCTTCTTTCCAGCAAAACGATGGAAACCACGGGTGCTGTGCACCAAGCTCTTTGAGTGCACTGCAGCCTTGGAGTGCACCAATGGTGTTGCCCCATGAGGAGCCTTAAGAAGCACAAGGAGTACCTTGCTTCCCTTGAAGAAACTGGGTTAGGATTCGAATGGTTGCGTTCGCTCCAAAGAGGCATACTGCTTCGCGGAGCGCGGTGTGTCGTTGGGCCTTGCTCCGCTGATCTCAACAGCCGCGGTGAGTCGAGAGTGGCTGTAAGTCAACTCTTCTCTACACAAAGCGCGACACGGAAACAGGTTGATTGCACGACGTGTTTTTGATGATATGGTTTGAGACCTAAATTTGCTGTTTATGTGTGATCTCGGTGAGGATGTTTCTGGTTTCAAAGCTCTAAACAAATGCTCATAAATAGTTCAAGAATGCTCAGGCTATTTGCAGTTTGGTTCAGGACTATCTACTGGCCTTGAAAGAAACCATTTCTAGAGCTATTTTGCAAAAGTTCAGATTGAAAAATGTTCAGGACTACTTCATTCTTCTTTGTTTTCTCCAGGTGTTTTGTTTGCTTGCTTGCTGTATTTTACTTGTTGTATGGGTAGACCATGAGCATATGACAATTGCACTGGACACCTCAGCAATCTTGAATCGTACAACCAAACAACCAGTCCAATTATATGTATAACATAATTATATATATATATATTATATCCACATATACAATAAACAAGCAAACAAAATGCACCTGACATCCGTACCGCTGCTGATGACCTTGAAAGTAGATCGTGTACTTGTGGACCAAAAACCACCCTGGCCCACACCCGAACTTCCGCTTTCACCGGCCATGGGGGGGCTCAAGCTCGTATTGTTGGTCCAATCTTCGTCCAGTTTGAGCTTCTTCCTGGTGCCCTGTCCTTCAGGATCTTGCTGTATGATCTGACCCAATCTTGCTTCTCGATCGAGGCATCCACCAAGCGGGCCGCAGTCCACGCTGGACTACGAGCATCCAGTGGCTCCCGCAGCTTGTAAGGTGGCCCCACAGCCACGGTGCCATGCCTGAGGTGTCCCCACTGTCCGGGGAAGCGACCGAAAAACTCATATCTGGTGCAAAGCCCCGTTCGTAGCGTCCGATTGCTCCGTTCGTAGCGATGCCAGGAGCCCCGTTCGTAGCGAACCTTGTTCCTAGTAGTAAGGCCAGGAGCCCCGTTCGTAGCGTGCGCAGTGGTGTTTCCTTATTCTCATACACCGGTCTCCAGACCTTTCTTTTGAGCTTCGTTTGGGTCCAGGTGATCATTTGGGTCCCCGGCCGGGACACCACAGTCCATGCGGGTGTACACACTTTCTCGACGGGGGACATATTGAGTAGGAATCGGGTCCCGTCCAGCATCCTGTTTTTTTCCGTGAGCCGTGAGCATGGGATACCATTCAGCTGCAACAGCCTTTTTCAGGAAATTCTACCTTCCTTCGCTTAACTTGTATTTGATGGTGAAGTGTTGAGAGCACAGCAAAAAGCCTTTCGTCCTCCCATAAGCAAAAGCGGCCAATCGACACAAATGATTGGATTCAGCCAGAATGGTCTCAAACTAAGGTCCCTTGAGCTACAGCCACCAGTCGTTCTTTTTGCCAGTTGTTGTATGCTATTTGTTTCTTCTTTCCCGCGGCCATGCGCGGCCGCAGCGTACGCGCACCCGGTTGCCCACCTGTACGCATGACGCACGTAGCAAGGGGTATGCAAGTCATCCGTCGACTGCTTGCCGACCAATTGAGGCAGTCGTGGATTGTCTTTCCACTTAGGTCGTAGACCTGTTCCATTCATGCCTCGAACAGGTCGAGCGAGAGACCATGCGCGTGACCCGAGAGAGACCCGCAGCCTCCGATCTTCAAATATGCTAGGTAATTCAAAAAAATATTGATAGAAAGTAACTCCTCTGAACATCTTGAACACCGTTTGTCTACGTCCATATTCGGGGGGGACCACTACAATTTGATGGATCTACAGTTGCTAGACTTGCTGGGACTCATCAAACTGCCACTGATCTCTGCTGGACAATATGTACAGTATGCACTGGCTGATTGGGAGTATTCTTCAGAAGGCGTCTTGAACCCCCAAGAAGGTCGGATGTTGTTTCATGTTGTTGATCATCGGCCATGGGTAACAGCGTTACAGTCATAGCTGTTGAGGGTCTCCCGGTCTCATGTTGCACATCACAACGATTCTGATCTCATCCCTTCGACTTGGACACATCGTTCGCCTCTCCACCACTTCGCGAGCGAGCGAGTCGGGGTTTCCGCTTCTCGCCTCCGTACATGCCAGCCCAGCAGAATTGGGTATTGAAGCTTCCACCCATCGCTTCAAATTGGGCCGTTTCCTGGCGACCGTCCACAAAGAGCCGGACCAAACCACCACATGATTATGATTGATGAGAACAAAACACACAAGATTCGGTCATGAGGTGAAATGATGTTGAAGAAAAACACCAGCACTTGGCAATTGGTGCCCTTTTGGCTCCTTGAAGCCTCCGTTTGGCTCCCTGGCAGTCCTTGAAGTCCGCACCCTTCCGATCCACCTGGCTTTCTATTCAAAGAAGCAGCGACGTGGTTGAAATACATGTCAATCGCCAAAAGACATCCGCCGCCCCCCGGGTTTACACGGCATTTCGAGCGAGAGCGGAATGTTTAGGACAAGCCTAGGCCTGGGGAGTGCGGTGAGTGCGGGGCGATGTGGGTCAGCTGCAAAAAATGGACGTTGCAGCAGTGGTGGGGGGCAGGCCGAGTAGAAACTTTCCGAGGATGTGTTTCTTGAGCAAATGTGGTGAGAGCAGCAGAAAGAACTTTGGAAGACGTGTTGTGTTTTGGTTTAAACATGTTGTTAGCTCTCTCTCTCTCTCTGCCTGACGGAAACGCAAGCTGCGGCGCCTCCCTGCTCCCTACTCCTTGGGGTTGGCCAGATCAACAGCTTTCATCAACGTTCATCCATGTTTCCCAGTGAGTTGCCCCAGGTCGAAATCAACGTTTGACACTGCCACGAGGCGACCGGCTCCCGCGTTTCTCTGGCTGCCTCTGGCTTTGGGGAGCGGCTGCGGTCTGGCAAAGGGAAAGGAGTCGATGGCCCAAGGAGTCGATGTTGGTTGGTTAAGCATCCCCAAGGAGGGACTTAGCAAAAACGATCTTACTTCCCATTCAATCGAAGACAGTGAACCTCTCTTTCTGTGTACCCAATGCATTCCTTGGCCACCCCAAATGTCCCACTGAATCATAGAAGGTCTCGACCAGATCTTTGCCAAAAGCTTCAGGGGCGTCCCTGGCACCAAAACTTCGGTGTATTCTCAAGGACTTCGAAAGGTTCGTTTCAGAGACGATTTTTGTCTCGGACATTGTGATGATCTGTCTGGTCAAAGTTGATATGGGTGTATCATACTGGTAGGTCGTTTCTCACCCTGTACATCCTGAGGAGGGAAAACTACGGTTGGTGTATAATGTCCTGCACCGCCTTGTGCACGCCATGGGGAATGCCAAAGTACTGAAAACAGAAAAGGTTGAATGTCCAAAATCATCCACGATCCTGCACCACCTCCTGAGAAGCCTTAAAACATTGACATGATCCTTGGGAAGCCCAGAGGCGAGGTGGTGCAGGATTTCATCCAGCAACATCTTCGTGTTCACAATGAGAATAAGCTCTTGGGTCTTCAAGCTGTCTTGGCCAAAAAAAAGAAGGGCAAACCTAAAAGGTACCCTGCAACATAGCAAAGAACACCTGGCCACTCAATCCACCAACTTGACTTCCGTTCGCCCTCTTGACGTCCATGATCTGCGACCCGCGGAGAAGACGACGACGAAGCGCAGACCGGCGTGCACCGCCTCCGCCTTTCTTGGGCGACGCCCGGGCAGAGTCAGTCGGCTTTGGTGAGGTGGGGCTGGCCTGGAGCGAAGATGACGGGCCGTGGGCCAAGGCAGCCCACACGGCAGCCACCACAACCGTGTTCTCAAGCCCAAAAAGTCTTTGATTTGGATCTATTTTTTGTTGGGGAGGTCGTAGAGGAAAGCTCACTCTTCTACCCTTTGGACATGATGTGGGCATGATGGAGAAGTCATCTTGCATCAATCACCAGCTGACCCGCTGTATATCATGCCCAGTGGTTGCACAGTTTTTGCCTATCAACTGCAGGACGGAAAACCTCCTGTGCTCTGACACCAGTTGACCCCCCACACCAAACATGTTGACATGACCTGGTTCTCCGCAAGTCTGAAGTCCCCAAACCTCCGGTTTCTTCGCAGATTCTTTCAGTGCGACTGAAAACTCACTGAACTCCGCCGCGAACTTGCCTTGCCCGGAACCACCACTTTGGTCTCGTCCGCCGCGCTCGTGACCACGTCGGCATCGCTCTTCTTCCGGCCGGGTGGCTCGGCCTCGGGCGGAGCGCGAGCACTCACGCCGAGGCTCTTTTCACTTCGTAGCGTGAGAGTCTGGAAGACTTCGCGTGGCGAATGAGTTTCAGGACTTGGAGGTTATAAAGGAGGGGGATCGCTCTGACCCAATGGGGAAGACGTTTTTGTTCATGATACGGGATCCAAGCGGGTCGTCTCGCCGTTTTGGCACATACACACATATTGTAATTCATTCGTATATATTGTTATATATTGTACTGCAGGTTACAAACCAGTAGTTTGCGCAGCATTTTTGTGATGCCCCAGGGCACCAAAATGCGAACATCAGCCTTCACAATTGAGGAGAAACAGGGCTCTCCATCCCAAGTCACGAACACAAAAATTATGATGATTTCTTGCTGGATTAGTGATGAGTCATCAGTCATCCTCTACTACCCAGGATCTCTGGTCCTAGTTGGGCAACGACAACACTTGGCCGCCTGGCCAATGGACACCGAAAAGCCAACGCCACCATGGACATCGGATGACATGGGTCTATCGGTCTATCCTCCATGTCAGACAACGCGAACACCCCATGGTTGCCCGATGGGGGATAGACCCCGACATGGTTAACAAAGACCCGGACCACCCCATCGTACCAATTTTCACAATGGCCCAAAAAAAGTAATTAGTTGCGACTTGGCAATCATTGCCCACCGCCCTCAAAACATGGCCTAGTTCGGCCTCTGTTTAATTGCTGAGTTCCGTTGCCTAACTGTTCAGTCGACTTCAGGGTCAACGGGGTGCCATGGTGCCATGACGACCGTAGCGGTCGCTCGACCGTTGGGGAGGCAACCGTTGTTCCAAATTTCAGGCCCAAAATACACCGAAGGTGCCGAGGGCGTTATGGAGGCTTCGACCGCGAAGCGGCGTGAATACACCCATGTGCTGGTGTTTTTTGTTCAACTGTGCTTAGATTTTTTCAACTGCGATCAAGAAGTGTCGTAAACAAGAAGTTGAAGAATGTCGTAAATAGATACAATTACAAACAGTGTGTTTGATTCATTTCGAAACAGGATTGCCAGGGATTGAGAATGGTGATAAATCATGTTACTGGCAAAGCAGTTTACTTCATATAAATATTTGCGTGGTGTTGATTATATAGACAAACATGTTAGACGATCTGCGTAGATCCTCGTCCCGAGTCTCCCTTGCGACAATACCAAAGGTATATATAGATATACTACATGATACTACATATAGCCAACCTTAACGGTGGACAAAAACTCAACCCACGAACGGATGTCGTCCCTTTTTGGCGACCGTGCGACCGTGAAAGTTACTCCCCTGCAGATTAAGATGGAACCCCTCAACCACTGGGTTGTAGAGGAAAATGGTCTTCCACCGGTCAATTCTCAGGTTCCATGTTAGTTTGCGCGGGGTTATCTTAGGGCCCGTGCTCCAGGTGGAACTTCCAACTTCGTTGAGGGTGACACCGGCTCCTTCTTCGCAGCTGGCTTGGCCTCAAATTGTCAAGATGCTGGGAGATTTTCGAAGAAGCGATTGCACTCTAAGGGCACCATCATCATAATTATCAGAATCATTCAGAATCATACACTATATTATATCCTACAGATCTGCGTGCTAGCAATGTATCGCATTGGCCGTTGGCTTTCGCGGTGCTTTGCACTGCTTGCTGGTATCCTCCCCTCGTGACGAGCTGAATTTGTCGCAATCAGGCGTCAATCCGTGGAAAGTCCAAAGTCTTGTCGCACAACACGACACCGGCAACCAGCCAAGTGGCCGCGCGCGCATTTGGGCACCTAGGGGTCTATGGCCTATTTTGGAGATCGGTTGTCCAGGCCTTTATCGACGTTCAGAGATGACATGATTTTTCCGGGGTCACGCTGGCGCCAAAGGAATATGCTTTTACCCTTCAGATACGTCTAGGCTGTCTCTGCACCCGGCATACTTCTTTCCCTCCCTTCCTTTCGTCGTTCCATGTGGTTTCCCATCAAAGTGTTCCACATCAAGGTGCATGTGCAAACAACTCCTCTCATTCCACTCACGCGCTTTTCTTCTCACTTCTTTTTCGGCATCGCAAACTGCATCGCAGGCTTCGCAGGCGGCATTGAGAAATCACTCTTGTGAGTGCATCCTCAATTTGCTTCAAGCTCTGCTTCTCGACCCATCTGTATTCTTCAATTGGGTCTCTCTTCACCTCCGTCTGTGGCCCATCTGTATTCTGCAACGCCCAGCGAGCAGAGCGTACCATGTGCCGCGCCAGCTGAAGACTCCGGACCAGGCGTGGCTTCCGAGTTGGGCGCCCACCTTGCAAAGGCGGCTGAACACCTTGAAAAGGTGCTTGAGAAGAAACCAAGATGGTTTTCCAAACAGGTGAAGTCATCAAGCATGGGACCAGAAAACAAAACGGCATCTTGCTCAAAGAGGAGATCGTGTGAAACCCAAAAATACTCCCCAAAAAATGACCACATCAGCCTAAGAGTTTAAGAGGTTGTAAGCAGGTCACACAAAATCCTTTCATTCGGCCAAGTTTGCTGTTGTGAGACACACTGCACTTCCATGTTCTATAAGTACATTGTACATTGGTTTTCTGGCGGTGACCTGTTGGTGAATTGCTGTCAGTATAAATCTTGTGATGGATCAAAGCCCGTACTTCTTCCCAGAGCAATTGTTTGAGCGTGGAGAATGACCTGGTTACGGGGACAACATGAACGCCAAGTGAACACAAGTGAGCATCTCTCCTCGAATGAACACATAGGCCAGACGTGCCGGTGCTTTGGGTTTGGGTTTGACACATCCTACTGTTGATGGCAAGTGTGGCACGCTCCAACTTAAGTGTAGTCTTTGATGACATACTATCTCACATGTATCCTTTGTGGCCTGCAAGGCATGGCAGGTCCACGGTCGGCGATGTCTTAGCCAAGGCAAAAGCCACAGCTTCAGGACAAACAGTGCGTCCAGTTCCTTCGACTCATTCTCTCTTGTTGTCTCGGTGAAGCCATCGATTGAGGCACCGATTTGAGGACTTTGGGAGGCACGGTTTGATGAAGTCTCAAAACCTCCGCAGGCCTGGGGAGTTCATTCATCAACAGTTTTCAGTATTGAAGCCAGCAGGTGGGCAGGTCTGGCCAAACAGATTCGATTTTGGTGTTGGACCCCGGGCGAAACATGTATCGAGGCAAGATCCTGGGTGTGCATATGCTGAAGCTTCCAAGGGAAAAAAGCAATGACCAGCGGTCACACAAGGGTGTTTGCAGATACTAATGTCCAGTGTTTCTCAGTAGCAAAGAGCATCAAGGATCCCAACTTCAGGAAAAGAGCCCACGCACACACCTATCAGGAGCATCCCTTCGTGGTCACCATCCTCGGCTATCATTCATCAACTGGTACGGGGCCTGGCTTTTCTTTGGCCCCAACGCATGCTTTCGACCGCCCGTGCCACCTGGGCGTTGCTCCGCCCGTGCCCGCCGTGCCGGCGGGGGCAGCGCCGTGGGCAGCGCGCCTGCACGGGCGGCCAAGGACCGGCGCAGCTGCGCTAGGAGGGCTGCTGCGCAGCACTCCTCCGGCTTGGAACAAGCAAACAAAGAACAACTTGAGACACAATGAAGAAGAAAACACCAGATTTCGAAGCACTGGGTCTAATCTGAAAGACCGATATCATATATCTGTATATTGGAGCTTCATATCATTGAGGATTAATCTTCATGAGATACCTTCGGCATGTCGCATGGCCTTTGAAGTTCATGCAGCACCAAGAGTCAAACATCAACTGCCAGCATGGGCCTGCACCCTCCAGCACATGTTTCCTGGTGACAGCAGGTGCCCCAAGACCACCCTATCAAGGCTCCCCCAAAACCGCCCAGACTTGGAGGATCCTGGTGGAAACATCCACGGATTTGGAGTCGCATCTTGGCCGTCTGTTTTACACATCACTCAGCAACAAGGAACACCACGGGGACCCGTGTCTGGTTGGCAAATGGACAGATCTCCCGCACCAAGAAGCTCCAAGACCGTGATCTGGAGAAGCTCCAAGACAGGGTTGCGAATCACGAAGACCGAATCAGATAGACATTAAAATAGAATACTATAGAGATAAATCCGGTCGTTTGGCGTCTGGAACAAAACATGACGAACAAACACAAACATCTCCGAATGACCCCATTCACACCTGCCCCCGTGGCCGAGGACAAATGCCCAATCCGCCCAGCACGTCATAGGGGTTCAGCGCAGTGCCTCGGTGCCCGGCGCCGGGGGCCCGTGCCGAAGCCCGTCCACGGAAGGAGCCTGAGGAAGTATACGGCATGATATCATATGTATTCATATATATATATATAATTATATATATATCCATATCTCAGGTGATGAAAGCAGTTTGCTCTTCAAACTGTAGGGTACCCCAACTCTCCCTCAATTGTGTTCCGAAAGCCGCCACAAAACAAAAAAGTCGAGGGTCCTTGCCAAAATCACAGATCACGGAACATGCCAAAGGGTTTGATATGGTTTGACACGGGTGACCAAAATCCAATGGGATTAGAGAGACCAACGGGTACTTAGTGCCAATGGTGCCCATGAGCCCTCTTCTTCGGTGGCTCAACCCATTCTGTCACCACCGGGAAGACGCCGACCACCATGAGGTCGGTTGCCCTCTAAACGGAGTGGTCAAACCACCATGAGGTCAGGCACCTGGTGGTGTCACATCTTCGAAAGAAAGTCTACTCTGCAGAATGTGTCATGCACATTCTAGAGTCAAGTCAAGCCCACTTGAATGGCATGTGTTGCACCGTGTAGGTCAACGAAGCTCTGAGATCATGTCCGCCGTGCAGGGCCTTGGCCCTGGTTTGACCAATAAAGGCCAGTGGCCGCCAGTAACGAAGCCGAAGGAAGAAAGAAGTCGTGCAGATGGCAGGGGCCCATAAGTGTTGAAGATCTCGTGGCCAGCAGGCACCGAGCGGATGGCGCGCATCACAAAGGCCAGGCCTTCTACAGCACAGCCTTCCAACTGGCACTCATTGGTTCCGATCGTGGCATGGTTGAAGGCGTCCGCAAATGGAACCATGAAGGGTCCTGCCATGATGGCTGATGACATGGAATGGATACGTTTGAGCCCCACTGAATTTCTCCATATATCCGAAGTTGGCACAAACTTAAACAGGTACATGTCAGCTTGTTCTACTTGCAACCTTGTTCTACTTGCAACCTCTATGGAAGAATTACTCAACCGGGAAATTGCTCAGCCTATTTCAACCGATCCCAAGTCGATCTTCCGTTTGAATAGCAACTATGGAAGAAAGGTCCTTGTTTCAGGCTGGTCATGACCTGCCATCTGAGCCTGGAATCCGCCCACTTTCTGGCTCAGATGTGACCAATGTCACAAACATCGTCACGGCAACCATCAGAATAGCAGTGACAATTATCACGTCAACCATGCCAGAAAACATACAAAAGAAGAAACACGCGGATGATGGTCGCTTCGGACCCCGCATCCACGATGTGCAAGTCCTTGCCCAGACTTCCGCCGTCCTTGCCCCTGACATAGAAAGCCTCTAGAAAGAACTGCTCCAAGGGCCCGCTGAAAAGACTCGAAACTCCTGGCCACGAAAAAGACGGTGTTCTATTTTGCGCAGTTTAACCGCCCTGAAAAGCATAACACCACTGCTACGGAGGGAAGGCAGCGGTTGTTCCTGCCAAATTCAATATTCCAGCAAGTTCAATTGGGGAAATTTAGACTCTAAGTCCCTAAGTCAGGGGCGTCTCTAGAACTTCCGGTTCTTGACATTTTAAATTTGAAGCAATCTTTGGCCAGCTCTGCATCTGCTTGTGCAGAAAGTTCTTCACACCTTGACCTTGAAGCAGTGCTCAAGATCCATTTCTATCGTCAAGTGGGGCCAGCAAGAATGAACTATTCTAAATGAACATTTGGGGGGGGAGCTCAAGAAATTTGCTTCTGTTAATTTCTCGGGTGTTCCTTCATCTGTCTTTTTCAGCTTTACCACATTCAAGTGCCATCTATGATAATATGGTTGTGGGTTAAACTCAAAACTGTATAAAACTGACAGTTGATGTCTAAGTTGCCAGTGAAATCAGACTAACAATCTCTTGAATTAATACCAATGGGTTGGGACAAAGGATGTATGATACTCAATGTCTGCAGATCGATGCCGTCATGGCTGCTGCAAATGGATGAATAGATACACCTCGGCTTGGTCGATTCCTCTCACGAAGCGGATCGAAATGCATTCCAGCGTTCGACCGTTCGACCCCCACAAAGCCCAAATGGCTGCGTACATGTCCCTCTGTGCTAAAAGGCCCTAAAAACCACTGCGTATGGGGGTCTGGTCCCCTTAACCTCCCCTCACGGCCAAACAGGGAACCCTTGGCCTCGCCTGTCGCTCCACCACTCTCGGTGCTTTTCCAGGAAGGGTCCTCAAGGGACGACCGACTGCCTCTGCGACCCGACCGCCGTGTTATCTCCGAGGCCGGGCGTCCGGGTCGGTCGCCG